AGCCCGCCGCGCTGGTAGCGGTGAGTGCCGGGAAGCGGTGGCCGTCCGCCGAGGCGTGGGGCTGACGGGCAGGCGGTTGAGGGGGGCCGGGGCCGGATGGGGAGGCTGAAGCGGGAGGGCCCGCTCGACGCGCGGCCGCGGCCTCGGCTCCTCTCCGGGTGCGCGCGGGGCTGCGCATGCCCGGTGCGGGGCGCGGCCTTCTCTGGCTCCCGTCGGGCACAGGCCCGGCCAGTCGGAGCGGCTGGAGGTGGGCACCGGGCGGGCGGCGCCGCATTGCCGCCTCCAGTCTGTGCGCGACCCGCCGATAACAGTCCTCCGGGCTCCTCTGTAGGCTAGGGCTGCACACCCCGCGCCCCCTTCTCGAAACGTGAAGTCGCTCGCCTGCGGGTCCTCAGCGAGTCGGTGGCGCAGTCGGGATTCGAACCTGGGACGAGGTGGCTGGCCTCACCGGGCGTTCCTCTGGGCGCGCGGCGCCGGGCGGCGAACCGAACGCTCTGTCCCCCATCGCCGCCGCCCGCCTCGCGGCCCCTTGACAGCATCCTCGAGGCGTCTCGTTGTTATGTGACACCTTCCCCCCACACACCCGTTTTATAACGCGGACCCGGGCCCAGAAAACGGGGAAAGCAACCGGGCCCGCGGTTACCCTGGCAACTAGCGACCGAGCCAGCGTCCCAACTGGCTGGCTCTCTTTCTCTGGACCTTGGGCACTTTCCGTACCCGGACGACCCGCCGGGGGCTTTTTTTAGAACGGCGTTTCCCCTGTTTCAGTCTCTCGCGTTGCACTTTTATGTCCGTGTACCCATTGTACTTGCTGTTTATTTACCAAATGTTACTTTTTTCTTCTTTAAACTGACTTTTTTTTCTCCTTTTAAAATATATTTGTTTAAGGTGGAAACGTAAATCACGAAGCGTATGATGGAAAGCCAGTTATTTTTCTAATGCTCATAAAGAAATAAATACTTATGTATTAAAATAAACAGTGCGTCCTGATTCCTCCTGAAATTATTCTGCGTTCCACGCTCTGGGAAACGCTGCGCTAGGAGTATGGGGTTAATTGTGCTCCTTCTGCGTTTAGCTCTGTGCACAAAATTGTTCCCTGAGGCATAGCAGATTCCATGAAATGCCTCAGGGTCTTCGGGGATAATAATGTTGTAAGCTTTCTCGTTGTAAACTGTTCTCGTTATTGACTTAACGCGGGATAGTCCCAGAGAACTTCAGGGACTGCGCTCAAGGGCACCCGGTGTGCCTCCTCAGTTTTCTTGTAGCATCGTGGTGTGGTAGCTACCGGACAGTTCAAAAAAGATGTTTCTGCCAGCGCCGATGGATTTGGCTTTTGACAACTCTAGGTTTAATGTTTTCTGTATGAGTCAGTCTGGGTGTAAAAACTAACTTTGGTGTTGACTTTTCCAAAACAGTAAAGCCCAAGCTTTGCGCTGTGAATATTGGAGATCACTTGGCTATATTTCGACATGTTTCTTCCTTCATTCTGATTTCTTTGCCTTTGTTTTAGCTCATCTGTCACTCTCCAGATAGTCTTTGAAACCTCTGACAGTCTTTTAACCTAAAACATAGAAACAGTGATTTTCCTTGTAGGCTGTGCTGGAGAAGGCCCAGTGGAAGGAATTTTTCTAGGCGCAGGTTGTTCAGTGGCACACGCCTCTGAACACCACACTTTGAAGGAGGCATTGGTGAATTAATTTATTCATTAGTTAACCGTCTGTTCCTATTTGCAGTATGTCCATAAGCTCTGTTTTTGTGTGTGAGAGAGTAGATTGACTCTAACTCACTGAGAGAAAAGTCAGCATAGGCCATTCAAGGGTTTTTTTCCCCTCGAAGGCTGTGTGAAAAATCCATATTCCTTGGGATTACTTTGTATGAGCACAGTGTAGAATTTACGGAAGGCTAAGGTAATTTTCTTCACATTTCTAAGCAGCAGTCCTGTGTGGAGAAGAAATGAGAATTTTATTTTACTCCAGTCAGTTTCAGAACTTCAGCAAATGGAGCCTCATCTATCTACCAGTGCTCAAAGGCTAAGAATAAACATTTTTTGGAAAGGCTTTAGAAGTCTGATGAGAAGGAGCACCTGATGGTTTGAAACTTCATTTTAAATAACCATTGCAAGCATTCATTCTCTATGGCCTGCAGATGGCAGTGCCTTTGTATAGCTTATTATTTTTGTGCAAATTGTTGGAGTTCAGTTGTGCTTTTAAGAATGGAAAACCTTTGGAGGAAGTATATTTAATATTTTATTCTGTTCTGTTTACATTGTTTCTTTGTGTTGGTTTTTTGTTGTTGTTGTTGTTGTTTGCGGTACGCGGCCCTCTCACTGCTGCGGCCCCTCCCGTTGCGGAGCGCGTGCTCCTGACGCGCAGGCTCAGCGGCCACGGCTCACGGGCCCAGCTGCTCCGTGGCATGTGGGATCTTCCCGGGCCGGGGCACGAACCTGCTTCCCCTGCATCGGCAGGCGGACTCTAAACCACTGCGCCACCAGGGAAGCCCTGTTTGTTTGTTTTTGACTCTCCACACTAGGAATGAAACATCTGTTCCTACGCTCACTATTACTCTTGGTGGTAATGATAACATACAACTAGCAGTGCTTATGGTTCACAAAGCAGGTTTACAAATACCAACTCATTTTCTCCTGCCAGTCCTCTTGTGAGATAGGTAGACCTGTCTTATTGTTATATCTTTTTTGCATATGAGGAAACAGTGGCTCAGAGAGGTTATATTTCTTGCCCAAATAACATATTAGTAGAACATATTCAAGAAATTATTGAAGGTAAAAGATTTTGTGGTCAAGCAAAATTGGGAAATGTTGAGGTAAAGCATTGTTCTTACTCCAAAACTTCTCAGAGGCTTTAATATACTAAACATGTGCAATGTAGATGTCCAAGAGAGGAAGGTATTTTGATGCCTTTCTCTTGCTCTCCTCCCACGAACATCCTGTGGTAGTAGTGTTCCCCCAAACTGACCACTCTTTCTTCTATTCTCGGTTTGCTCTCTGTACCTTGCCGTTAACTAATGATTACCATATGTCTTTAAGACAAATACTTTTAAAGTTCTATTAGCCTAATTTCTTGTGCCACAAGATTTGTCCTGTGAACAGCGTACACATTGTCCAGACTATTCAGTTACTTGAAGTAAACTATCAAGAAGTTAAAAGAGCAGTGACCAACAAAATTATCCTCTGTGTAATTCTCATTAATGAGAGGCATTAAGGAAAGGATCAGGGTAAGGCCACTGGCTGAAGCAGCAGCACATTAGGGAAATATGAACTGTACTGACAGCTAAATGCCTGCTGCTTTTTAAATGGTGGTTTTATTACCACCAGATATGAGTATTTATAGGGATGGTCATTTTCATTCTTTATCCTGTCACTAAAAAATAAAAGATAATAGGTCAACTGGACCAATTACTTTTATGTTAAGAAAATAATTCCCCTCAAAGAATCAGAACTTTTCCAGACCATAAGACTCTTTTCCCTTTATTTCATGTTCAAAACAACATTATTGTTGACCTATGCAAAGACCAACAACTTTAGGCAAAGAGCAGGGGAACTTAAGTTGCCTTAATGAACAGTTATAAAGCAGAGTGTCTTATAACTTCAGTTCTAAAAAATATCGGTCCCCTGGTTTGGATCTGGAATGATTGAATTACTGAAGGTTAGGTTGATTCTGCAGCTAGTGGGCAAGCTTTGAAGAACTTTGAATTATAAGTACTTTGGCTTGAAGTTGCATACTTAACCATGCAGTTGGAGATTGAGATAGTAATAACAGGTATTTAGGGTCAGAGATGATACAAGAAATTTATTTTTAATCTCTATTCAGAAATTACTTTTGATATCCAAAAGAAAAAAATAGGAAAAACATGACTTTCACTCAATTTTACAACTTAGAGTTATAAATATATAATTGAACTTTTTTGCAGCCTTTGGTAAACTTACAGTAGGACAGCATCAGAGTCACTAGAACAGCTTTTTGGAAATACAGATTCTTGGATGCAGCTCCCCACCCCAACTCCTAACTGACCTATCTTTGGAAGAGAAAGCTAGAGAATCTGCCTTTCAGAAGCCACCCGTGCAGTTTTTATGTACGTTAAGAACCCCCGATTTAGGACTTTAGAAAATGAGCTTTCACTGAAAGTGGAAGGTTGAAGCAGGTTCTAGTACTAATCTATTGGTATAAGATTACTAATGGGAATTGACAGCTCTGGTTTATGGTTGAGTTTCCGTTAATGCATTTGTTTTAAGAGAGACATTAATTTTAACTATAAAATGTTTTTTGGCTTCATAGTTTGAACTAGAGGTAAGAAGAATAGTTATAATGTCTGGAGTTTTCAATAATTTAATCCCTTCCATTCACATCAGTCAGATGCTTTCACCTTATTGAGAAGAAAGCAGACCTACCAAGATTGCATGGTCTGCTTAATAACTTTAGATTTGCTTCACTTTGTTTGTAATAGTGTGAATGTGAAATTATATGTATGTGTCCATTTTTCTCTTTGTTGCATTTAGATATGAAAGCAAAATGCCTCAGAAGTTCTAGCCCCTGCCAGCAGCTGTTACTGACAGCTCTAGTTTGCAGAATTTAGAGAGAACTTTAATGGGTAGTTTGACCTTTTTTAGCCAAAGAAGTGGATAACATGCTGTTAAAAAGTGGCAAGCTTGGTGGTTAATATTTTTCCTGCCAGTTTATAACTACAGGATTGGAAAAAGAAGCTTAAATTTTCAGGATACTTTTTAAATGATCAGATGAAATTGAAGGGAAGTGATGGACTGCACACTCCTTGTGGGGGGAGGGGACACTGACCTTATAATTGGATATTATTATTACCTTTAGCACTATGGAAACTTGGGTTGATCCCATTTCCTTTGGAGGTTGCTATGTGATTATACTTTCTATACTGTTTTCAGGGATTGTATTTTTACAGATTTTAGCCATTGTGACATGTTCTTTGTAACATGTTTATGAGCTCTTTCCCCTTGAACACAGGAGTTTAGAAGGGTTTGTAAATGGACAAC